GCGACAATCGCGAAAATCGCGAAAATCGCGACAATCGCGAAAATCGCGAAAATCGCGACAATCGCGAAAATCGCGCAAATCGCGAAAATCGCGCAAATCGAATCGCGGACTCTGACACCAGCCTAAGCTTGCCACTCTTTGGGCGGTTGCCCAACACATGAGTCGCCTATCCTTTTTTCAAACAAAACAACGACTCGGGTAGCTTGTTCGAGTGGAGAATTTCAGAGTGATCCCGAGGATCAAGTGGCCAAAAAACCTACTTACATGGACTTGAATGCTCCAGATGTCTCTGCGAAAAAGGTTGAGGAGACACCGTTGAGGTTGGTTGGCCTTCTTGATATGTAAACACTTCATAGGTCACCATGGAATTCATGAAAATTTCTCAAGGAGAATGGAAATGATGACGAACTCGTCAGCCTTCAGCACTTCGTCAAGTATTAACGATGTTGTGGAGGCGCCTGCGAATGGACTTTGTAAGAAGTGAGTGATTTTGCTTTGAGTTATGTGGTGGTCATCTTTGTAAGCTTCTTTTTTATCATCGAAATTTTCGCATTTGCTGATCAAACCGTTCAGAGATGAGCGATCGGTGAAGCTAGAAAAGCTCGGTGAAATGGAACGCCAAGTTGAGGCTGAGAGATTACGTGTCGAATGGGAAAAGGAGGTCCAGGCGCACGAGGTTTGCAGTTTTTGTCGATTCTTTGCTGCAATTTTTTTGAGTCGTGTAACTTTTTCAGATGAAAAAGCTCATGAACAACCAAGGACTCTCACCATATCCTTCTCCAATGTACCCTCGGGCTCTTCCGCCGGGTTGGTCGTGTTCAGTCCAAAAGATGTGTAACGATGTATAGGGGTGAATAAACTGTGTGGTTTTAGGCCCTCAAGGAGGCCTATATCCAATGGGTTCCTACCCAGCGCGATATCCCCCTGGCTCAGCTCCCTATCCGATGGGAAGTATGGCTTATCCACAAGGTTATCCCAATGGAACAACATCTTTCCCTCCAGGTACCATTGTTTTCAATACTAGTTTCATCGGTCTATGTGATGTTATATTTGACGTTAAGGTTATCCCATGTCCGCGCCGGGAAACGCTCAGATACCGTCTCCGGCGTATATCGGAGATCCAATGGCTTTCAAAGGCGCTGCACCGCCTCCGGGAATGAGCCCGCATCATCCCATGTACGCCCACATGATGGCTGCCAGAGGTAGAGTGTTTTTCGATGTATTTTAATAGACCTTGTTTCTACTTGTGTAAGTTTAGCATCTGCCGGTATGCAGTCGCCCGTGTCTGGACCAGGTTACCCCGGTGATCCCAGTAGAATGGGTTTCCCGATGCCTGGACACTCACCTTCGGCAAGTCCATTCTATCCTGGCCCCTTTCCTCCGCATCCGTATGCACAGATGCCATACGGACATCCAGGGATGTCGAAAGTGAGTAATTTCTAGTATTTATTTTTTGTTTATGATATTCTGGTTGCAATTTTCTATATGTTAGTGGACAGGGCTGATATGGGTAAGATTCTGTTACAACGTACAATTCGACGATTTTCTATTGCACTGGTGCTTTTCGTTTGTGATGGACTTGACCCTTTCAAGAGCAATGGTGTGACCGTAGCTGTGAATTCCATTGGTCTCAGTGGAAGTTTGAATGAAAAGCTGAAGCTTCCTCCGCTTCTGATTAGAAATTCAATGATGTAGAGGAATTTGAACCATAATTATTCAGCTAGGGCGAAGCAGTTTGCGCCACACAATTCGACTTCACTCTGGATCGTAATGACTTTAGTAGATATTTGGACTGTACAGTGAATCCACTTGAGTTATGAGGCCTGCCGAAAACAGAAGAGATTCTTTCATCGTTTCAGACGATGTCGACATCGATCAGTAACCAAGGTTAAATGCAGTGGTTGAGTAATTTAAGCGAGATTTTAAATTCTGAATTCGTTGACGGAATTTACGCGGAATAGGCGAGGTCTTTTGCCACTTTACCACCTCTTACCCAATGAACAGTTGTAGTCTAATATTGTACCGTCGGTTCCAGCAAGTTTTCAATTGGCGATAAGGCTGCTACTAGTCATCCGTTGTGCAACCCAATGATACAAGCATGTAGCAGTTACCCTAGCCCTGCGCCATTATTTGACAATTAGTTTATTTCGAATGGTTCCGCTTCTTCTCAGCAAAAAAAGAGGAGTATTGCTGTGTTCATTTTGCTCCAATAAAGTAGTTCTCAGTACTACATTTGTAGATTTTCTTCAAAAAGGTTTTGAATTTTATGATCAAGAGTTAATTCATTCTGTGAGCGCATAGAGTAGGTTGGTCTCAATTGACATGCCTTAATTTTGTAGTAATAAGAGGCGTTAGTATATGCTAGGTCGAAAAGTTGACTACATATAAACTTGTTCGCTTCTCTGAATACATTCCCGGTACCTTGTTGAGTAGGCTTATGTAAGGGAAACGAGCTTTTGAACCGCATGACAAGTCAGATTCAATCCAAAGTAATGCCTCTTATGGTAAGTCGACCAAATCCTATTCTTCGAAAGTAGACTTATTTGTATTAATAGGCCAAACCCGCATCACTTGTGTAACCCAGTTCTAAGAGACGTGCTTGTTTTTGAGTTGATTGTCCATTGTTGGCAAAGTAGTTGTGGTGTAATACCGGGAAATGTTTTGTGCTTGTAAAATTAGGGAGGTGTGGAGGTAGCAATGTGAAAAAAAGGCGCCACCTTGTACCGGAGATCCGAACCTGCTTATGTCAATGGTTTGGTATTTTGGTGCTACAAAAACTAAACATCAACTTACTTTCCAAGTGGTTGTATAGGCCAGATACAGCTCCGAATCTTAGAACGATTCTGAATGAAGGTTGGGTGTGTGGCGCACCAAAATTGGAATAAACTATTCATCTTTTTTCATTTTTCTGTTCGCTTGTAAGTAATTGAGTTGAAGGTTTCATGTGTGAGACAGGAAAAGTATGATCAAACGATAGGTAGTACTATTTTCTGGTGAAACGAGGCCGTGCTATCATGGCACACGACCGCAAGGGCACTGTGTGAGAGCATGCTCTTACAATTATTAGTGCTTTTGTAAATGTAAGGATTACGGCGTGGTGTACTCGAGACTGTTTCGATAGGTTTTGATGCAAATAGAAGATTGGTCAGAATTGCTCTGCTCTCCCTTTTTGTCGATATTTTGAAGTCGAACCGGCCTGGAAGTCAAAGGTATGCCCTACACCGTCTACCGCTCGAGCTAACGCTTGTGCTGCTTGTCGACTCCATCTTCCTAGGGTGACGGGAGCTGCCACGTGAAGAGGTCGTCAAGAGGCTCTACGACCTTGCCATCTACCAGGTTCTCTTTCTCTTGCAAAATCCTGGCTTAGAGCCGCGGATCGGAATCAGGGGCCAAGAGCCAATCCCCCTCGAGTGACAAAGAGGGGCCCCAAGCTCAGGAGTCGTGACACTGTCTCGACTCCAAAGTGCGCGGCAAGGGCGCTAAGGCCGTGCCATGTCCTTTGCCAGTGCTGCCATCTCTATAGTTGCGGCGACATGGCATTTGCTTCCGCTCGTATACGACCTGCTCTCTCGCTTTCCCACTTCTCACGGCGCTGTGTCTCTCCGTAATACTACAGCCGACCTTACTAGGGAATTAAGGTAGTATTTTTTATGGCGCTTTTTGCTTTTTCTCTCCACTCACGTTCCTCATGAGCTCTTGTCTGATTCTCGAGCAACATGGCACACCAGTTCGATCCCGACCCTGCCTTTAAGGTGGTCGAAGAGGCGGGGTCGAAGAGGCCGGGATAGAAGTTGCTGTAGGAAAAATAAGGGTGCATCAGCTGCCCGCAGCTCCTTAGTCGCTTTGTCGTGTGGTCGTAGTGAGGGCTGGTGGCTGCTCCCTTTTTACAACTTCGATGGAGGCTTCCTGGTAAGTACTATAGTTTCCCTGAAACCTAGCCTGACTGTGTGCGTTGACTGGCTCTCAGGTGATCTCCAGCACCTCCTGAAAAAAATGAAGACGAGAAATCAGATTGAAGAAGTGCTTGCCGACTATTCCAAGTCTCTGATTCCCTCTTTCTGGGAGGAAGTTATCAACACGCGGCCTGAGTGTCGACGTCGGGTGGTAGACGGTGGTGGTGCGAATCCTTGCTCCGCAAGGTATGGTGGGTCGTTTTCAAAATATTCACGAAAGAGTTGGTGCTGAAACTTCTTCGATCAAATTGGTAATTTTCTAGACCGCAGTTCTTTTATTGTCGAGAAATACATTTTTATAGAGCTTAGAAGTTAATTTTCTGTTTTTTCAGGGAATGGTCCCACCTCCGCCATATCCATTTCCGCCCGGTGGAATGATGCCAGGTGGTCCAGGAATGCCATCCAACCCAGGTGTGTTGCGTTTTGATGTTTCTTTCACGTGCTATTATTCATCCGGAATAACATGTAACCTTTACTGTTCTGAAGGTTTTTATTGGAGATTCAGCGGTTTCAACTAGGTACGAAGATTCATTCAGTCGGTTAACGGTATTCAGAACAGGATGTATCTGAAGGGCTAGCGTCCCGAACTTTTTGTCCCTATTGTTGGTAGGCTGCCATTACATGGCTTGGCGCATACGTGTCCGTTTTACTCCTCTTGGCTGTATCCACTATCTCGTGCTCGATTTTTCATTTTAGAAACTTGGCAAAGGGCTTGCAACAGTTTTTTTTGCGACAATTTTTGAGATCTGAGATAATCCCCGTTAAAAACGTGATTTCTGAATGTTTCTAAGTTCTCCGAATATCCATTGTGTTTTGGTTATCATATGATCTTTATAAGAAAGAGCACAAACTTGGTTCGATTCAGGATAAGCGGTTGTTAGTACTATGGCTGGTCTGCTAAAACTATTTTCCACTTCTTGCTGAGAGCTCAGTTTTCATAGCGTGAGCACGCTTTTCATCTCCCAAAATTTGTGAGAGGAAGTGGCTCGAGGGATTTTGGGGCTGCAACTTGGCTATTCTTTATGATAATGTTATACGACGATGAGGATATGACAGAGGCGGGTAGTCAATTTGCGTAATGTGGTTTAAATCTAATCATCGAACGGTAGATGTCTTTGTTGAGAGCCGATTAACTTCAAACAGTAATGATTAATCTTCAACCAGTCCATCTAACCGTAATAGACCGATTTGACCATCTTTTAGCCACTTTCCGCAATCCTTTATTTTTACTCATTGGCTCATAGCAACTTTTTGAAGCTTAAAAATATACTGGTCAGTTGACATATTGCTGTATAATATTATAATATATGTCGGAAGTGAGAAGAGCTTCAATTGGCCGAAGATTTTCGAAAGATGTAAAAAATCGGCCTTTTTTCAATCTTTTTTATTTCGTGAACTTATTGACCTATAACCTTTATTTCGTGTGATTTGTTAAGCATTTTCATGAATTTTTTGAACTGCTCTTCATTTGTTTGTTTGTTTTTGTTCACGTTTCAAGAACATAGTCAATTTTCAGGGATGATGAGAAGCGATGCGATGGCATGGCAAGGAGGTCCTCCACCGAACTATCCGCCGTCATTCCCTAGCGTTCCTGGTGGACCCACTCCACCAATACCGTGTCAGCATTTGACACCACCGAAACAGGGCTTAGCAGTTTAGAATAGTTTTTGGGTCATTTTCCGTAAAAGGAGGTATTTTGGTGCACTACTTCGTGTGGACTTCAGTGAGCCCAATTTTGCAGAAGAAGGAAACTTTGGCATAGGAAGAACCACTTTGATTGTGCAAAAAGAGGACTGGGTGGGTATCAGCAGTCCTTTAGCGCATTGACGACGAACCACTGAGCGCGTGTCTTGGTATCTTTTTCCAGTATTTCTTCATGATCAACAGTTCCCTTCAATTATTCCGTTACTGGTAATAACTGTACTGTTTCTGGATCCGATAATGTAAGGGCACGGTTTGAGAGCGTGAAAAATACCAGATAAATGGAGCAAAGCGGGTCTCATCCGCGTGACATTTGACGCGCATGCGCCGTCATGCTGTCGTCAGTGTGTAAACCGTTATGTGAGAGAATATCGTGGTAGCGGTATAGGAACTGTTGAGTGCTTTGCACCAAAATGCCCCCTCTTCTTGGAGTAGACCTTATTTTTCTT